GGTGGATTCCATTGGAATGTCCTCATTTGAAAGTACTGAACTTACAAATGTACAATTTTCAACTTCTCTTAAAAAACTTGGTGATGGTGCTTTTAAGAATACAAGACTCACTGAATTGACACTACCTAATATCGAAATTTCTGAATTTGGAGAAGGTGTTTTTGTTGGTATCACAACTCTTAAAAGGGCCACATTAGGAGGCACGACCAAAATACCAAAAGACACATTTAAAGGATGTATTTTTTTAAATGAAGTGGATGGATTTGAAAAGGTAACTTATTATGGAGATAACTGTTTTGACGGAGCAATTATTCCAAAAATTACATTTGCTGAAAAAGTAGATAAACTTGGTTCAAATGCGTTTGTTGGAAATTCAATAGCTCAAATTCGATTACCACAAAATCCAATTAAAGATTTTGGAGAAAATGTATTTGAAAACTGCCTCAATTTGTTTGCAATTGATTTTGGAGGAAATACCGTCATACCACCAGGAACTTTAAAAAGGTGTAATGCTTTGACGTTGGTGTCGGGGACCGAAAATGTCAAAATGATTGGGAAAGACGCTTTTAAACAAACTGATCAATTACAATCAATCAATTTATATGGAAATTTGGAGACTTTATTAGACCCATTGGAATCACAAAGTAACTTGTTTTTCCATGGATATGAGGTTCCAAAAACACTCACAAGTGAACCATTATTAAAGGCAGATTTAAGAATTTTTGTGACTGAAAATTTCAAAGCAGATAAATTTGGAGATAATGTTGTGATGAAATTGAACTGCTCAATAACACAATTTATTGATGTCTCAGAACCAAACCCAATGTGTAAAAACTGTGAAGAAATGAAAGCGACGTTGGATGGAGATAATTACTATTGCGACTTGGATATGACTGAATGTCTCTCAACTCATCAAAAGTGTCAAATTTGTATCGAAGGAAAGTGTCAAAAATGCGAAGAAAAGTTGTTAGTTGACACAGTTAAAGATGTTTGTGTTTCTGAATGTCCTAATGGGTATTACGATGGAACTGTTATTTGTGAGAAATGCAAAGAACACTATGAAAAACCATGTAAAGACGAAGAATGTGAAAAGTGTACAGGCGGTGTTGGAGGCATAGTTATTGCAGCACTTGTTGCAATTTTATTATTTATGTTCTAAGTAACATTTTTTATAATTTGAATTGTCTTTATTTAAAAAAACATGTAAAAATCTAACAATGTTAACAATTTATTAATAATCGAATTGAAAAACTATTATTGTGACTTGTAATTTAATTATTTGGTCGAGACTTTAGAAATGATTACAAATTGTTGTTAACTGTTACATGTAATTGTTTGTGCTTTAATTTTTTTTATTCCAAAGATGTTTCAAACACAACGAACATTTTATTTGTGTGTTTTTATTAATTTTTAAATCCTGAAATATTAATAAAAAATTTAAAGTTTATTATTAAAATAATTAATGTACTGAACCAATCACGAAAAACGGTCAATTAAGCAGTGCTAACTTGTGTGAATGCGTGTTTCCAAAATCGAATGTAATTTCCTTCTTGACCTTCCCATTGAAATCCCATCGAGGCAGTATGGTCCTGGGATGGATTTATGTAGATATAAAGCATGGCAGCATGGCAAATTATAAGATCAAGCGCTTGCTTTGCCAATATCTTGAAGTCTTCAAGTTCATCGCCTTCAAGTGTACTCGCTATGCGGGTTATGTAGGCTTTGAGGAACACTTGGAGTTCGCTTGGAGTTTTCTGGGTGATTCCAACAAGCCCATAATATTCCATCAAACTTACGGTAGGGGTATCGTTAAGGTTGCAATTGGTCAGATAAACAGGAGAAAGAAGCAAGCACCCCGTATCGATGACTGGGAATGGATCTCCAAACATTGTGTCGTTTGAAAATTTATCAACGTAATGTGTTGTCATCGGAATAACTCAATGTTTTATATTGTTTTATTTGATGTTTTTATATCATTTTTCAAAAATAGAAACCAAATAATTAATAAATTTACAATTGATTGTGGATGTATTTTAATCAACAAAAAGAATCGATTTTTTATTTTGAAGTTCTATAAAATGGTTTCCTTATTTATTATTGTTGTTATTTGGTGTTTTTGTTGAACTTTTTAATTAAATCGAACCAATGAATATCAAGACAAATAATTATTAAACCAATAGATTTATTTATAACAACCCGAGTTTTAATTAACACAATGGAGTTGTGTTAATTAAAACACAACTCCATTGTGCCGATAAATAACAAAACAAAATCACAAAAACACAGAATCGATTTTTTCATTTTTATTCAGGGTCTATCACGGAACAGGGAAAAATTTGGAACTTGTCCCAAAAATGCATTTTAAAATGAAAAGGGGTATATTTTATTTGTTTTTGTGCCAAAAATAAAGTAGTTTTAGTAAAATTCATAGTTATGTTTGTTTTTGCGATCTCCAAAACCTTTTCTTTACAGATGGTACTTTTTTGCCGCGGTTGTTTTTTAACTTAAAACGACAGTTAACAACAAAACTATAAAATATTAAAATGTATAGTATA